CCTGCTATCTCAACTTTTAAGCTAATGGCAGCCAACTCTGTTGTGTAGAACAGTTAAAACTCCAACAAAAATCCACAGGGTTTGGTTCAACTGGAGCTGCTGCAAGTTGGGAGAAAAACAGTGAGTGTGACCCAGAATTCTGTCTCTAAATTCTGCCCCAATCTCTGGCTGATGGCAGAAAGAACTTGCACAAGGCCAGCTACAGATCAGCTGAACCTAAAATAAGTGGACCGAGATTTGAGCATCTGCCAGGGGAGAGCTGGCAATTCTGACCAAGTTATATGCCTGTCAAACACACAAACAAATCAATACTCTTCAGGGAAACTGAACATGACTAAGAGTCTACAATCCACAGTAAACAGGACACAATTCAGAGTCGCTAGAAATAAAAAGAATCAAGAAGACATAACCCATCCTCACAACGAAAGACAATTAGCAGATGGGACCTTAAAGGAGTCTAATTCTTGCTAAAAGATATAAAGACAAATATTCTTGTAGTGAATGAACAAATATAAAATCTTAGCAGAGAACTAAAATTTTTAAGTGAAACAAATTCTAGAACTGAAAAAGAAATTCTCAAACTAAAGACTTGTTGCGCAGGATGAACGAGAGAGCAGAGAGGCAGGCAGTGAACCCGAGGACACAGAGGACGCCTTTCCACCTGAGAACAGAGGGAGACCAGGTCAGAAAGCAGGAAGCAAAGCCTCTGGGGCTTTACACTCCGGGGTAAAAGGTCCACATACACGTAGCTGGAGTCCCAAAGGAGAGCAGAAGCAGTAAAGCAGAAACATATTTGAAGAAATAATGTCTCCAAATTCCCCACATTTGGTAAAAAGACATACATTTTCAAGTTTGAGAAGTCAGAAAACCACACCCGGGATAATCACCATCAAAATGCCAAAAACCTAAAAACTAAACTCAACTCCAGAAAAAAGGCAGCGGAACAGCCATCTGAAATTGTACCAATCAGAATATAATGAAGGTCGCCATAAGAAACAATCTCTAGATACAGTGAAGGCCAAAAGACAATGGAGCAATACCCTTCAAGTGCTGAAACAAAAAATCTGTCACCTAGAGTTCAGTATCCAGAAAAAAAAAATCTTCGGAAATGAAGGCAGCAATTTTCAGACAACAAACTCCATGATCGTTTTTGTCAGTAACAGACCCGAATTACAAAAAAAAAAAAAAAAAAAAAAGCGTTCCTCTCCCTGGAAAAAAAAAATAGCAGATAGGAACTTCAATTTTCAGGAGGGAAGACAGACATCCTACGTGGCAAAAATACCAAGAAAAGAAACATAGGCCTCAGAACACACAGGGAATGGAGAGGTTAGGGCTCGGTCGAGGTCCCAAGGGAGAAAGCACATCTCAGGTGGGGTCAGCCAACTTTCTATAAAAAGCAAAGGAGCAAATATTTGAGGTACGTGAACCACAGTTTGTATCACAACTCCAGTGCTGCCACTGTAGCACAAACACAGCCATTAACAATGTGTGAATGAGCAAGCACAGCATGTGCCGCTGAAACTTTACAGCAACAGGTGGCAGGCGGAATGTGACCCAGCCTATAGTTTGTTGCCTCCTGGGTCTAACCAACAGGCAGCTGTGAAAGGGGCTGGACATCCAGGAATCAAGTCTGGGTAGAGATGGGAAAATCAAAAGAAATAATTAATATGAAGGCTGGGCGTGGTGGCTCATGCCTGTAATCCCAACACTTTGGGAGGCTGGGGGATCAGATCACTTGAGCCTAGGAGTTGGAGACCAGCCTGACCAACATGGTAAAACCTCGTCTCTACAAAAAAATTAAAAAAAAAAAAAAAAATTAGCTAGGTATGGTGGCGCACTCCTGTAATCCTAGCTACTTAGGAGGCTGAGGCAGGACAATAGCTTGAACTTAGAAGACAGAGGTTTCAGTGAGCTGAGATCGTGCCATTGTACTCCAGCCTGGGTGAAAGAGCAAGACAATGCATCAAAAAAAAAAAAAAAAAAAAGAATATGAAACTGCTACACACACACACACACACACACACACACACACACACACGGCATTTGGTAAACTGTAAAGTGGTACAGAAATTTCACATATAGAACAAAAAGATGAAATTAACCGTCTTAAAAATGGGAACAATGAAAGTGTCAGAATACTCATAATAAAAAAGAGAAATAGCTGAGAAGGAAAACTTTGTCTTGTACATTCCATTTCCCTGTGGAACTCTAACACCTCACATACATGTAGCATAAATTTGAGAAACTTGATCAAAATAATACCTAAGCCATAATGAATTCTGAGATAATGTAAGGACTAAGGCCTCGGTAAACACACGGCTTCAAGCCTGTAACTTTACTGTCCTTTATTTCAGCTTTTTAATCAGAAATGTGAGGATAATAATTCACAGCGCTAATATAATGCCCAACAGAGGTACTACAAGCTGTACTTTTTAAATGTACTGTAACAACTTTTAGACATTATCTACAGCTAACAGGAAAAATAGAGGCAAGCATTTACTTCCGCTTTGAGCACAATATGAACTCTTACAAAGACTTCAAATTATTAGCAAATGAAATCAAAGTGATTCCAAAACTATTCTTTCATGGTCATGTAAATAATGCCACTTTATGTAAACCAAAAATGCTATACAAGTAAAAAGAATGGCCTACAGATGGGTTAAAAGTATAGTCTGAAGTTCTATAGAATATTCATTTTCCGTTTCTACAATACTCTGTTCCTCTGGCATTCGGCGTTCCTTGCCGTATCAACAGTCCAGTATAAAATGCCTTGAAAAAACCTCAAAGCACAGCCAAAAAGTTAAGGGAACAAAGTATTTTCATCATAGTTGGTAAACTGTCAGAAATTGAAAGAACTAGTGGCACAAAAGGAAGGCCACTCCGTCACCAAGTTACAAATCTAAAAAGACACGAGGTGAATGAAAAAACAGAGACCAACTAGAATCCAAGGGAATCATGTACTGCAGTCTTTCCTGTGGGTTATACAAATGAAGATCAAAGATAATTACAAAAAAAAAAAAACTGTGTCGCCTTCATCAAATCCACAAGTAAAGATCACCTGGTAGACTACTAAAACCTAAAACTTTCCACACACACAACTGTTTTAAGTCACCTGGCAGGAAATTAGTAAACATCCTTTAATGTCTGATGTAAACAAAGAACATAAAATAGTCACACACAAAAAAACTGATGGCTGATCATCCAGAACAGGGCTCTGTCCCTCCAAAGAAAAATTTCGGAAAAGCGACAAAACCTCAAAGCCCTAGTTTATCAGCACAGCATGTTATATTAGGCTGGTGCAAACGTTTTCATGATTTTTGCACTGTTGAAATTTGCCATTAGATACTGGAATACGTTCTTAAATGTGATTAGACATCATTTTAATGCATATTTCTAGCTTTACGGTTTTTTGCTAATGATCTGTTACTTGCTGTTTATTTTATGTTTTAGACTATGGAAATGATATTAAACAAAAGGCAAATTAGATCAATTTTCTTATTCCAGTTCAAAATGGGTCGTTATGCAGTGGAGACAATTTGTAACATCAACAATGCATTGGCCCAGGAACTGCTAATGAACGTGCAATGCAGTGGTGGGTCAAGAAGTTTTGCAGAGGAGACCAGAGCCTGGAGGATGAGGATCGTAGTGGCTGGCCATCAGAAGCTGACAACGACCAACGGAGAGCAACCATCGAAGCCGATCCTCTTCCAACTATACGAGGAGCTGCTGAAGAACTCAACATTAACCACTCTACAGTCGATAGGCATTTGAAGCAAATTGAAGAGGTGAAGAAGCTGAGTAAGTGGGTGCTGGCTCATAAGCTCGGTGAAAAATTTTAAAAACTGTCATTTTGAAGTGCCATGTTCACTTATTCTATACAACAACAATGAACCATTTATTGATTAGATTGTGATGTGTGCCAAAAAGTGGATCTTATACGACAAAATGTTATAGTGGCTGGACCAGCTCAGTGGTGGGACCGGGAAGAAGCTCCAAGCACTTCCCAAAGCCAAACTTGCACCAAAAGAACATCACGGTCGCTGTTTGGTGGTCTGCTGCCGGTCTGACCCACTACAGCTTTCTGAATCCCCGAGAAACCATCACGCCTGAGGAGTACGCTCAGCAAGTCGATGGGATCCACTGAAAACTGCAACACCTGCAGCCGGCATTGGTCAACAGGAAGGGCCCGATGCTTCTCCAGGACAGCACCCGACCACACGTCACACAACCAACAACACTTCAGACATGGAACAAATTGGGCTACCAAGTTTTGCCTCATCTGCCATATTCACCTGACCTCTCACCAACCACCACTTCAAGCATCTCGACAACTTTTTGCAGGGAAAATGCTTCCACAACCAGCAGGATGCAGAAAATGCTTTCCAAGAGTTTGCTGAATCCTGAAGCACAGATTTTTACGCTCCAGGAATAAAACTTATTTCTCACTGGCAAAAAATGTGTTGATTGGAATGGTTCTTGATTAATAAAGATGTGTCTAAGCCTAGTTATGATTTAAAATTCACAGCCCAACACCACAATTGCTTTTGCACCAACCTAGTATGTTATTTCAAGACGCACCATATCTGCTTCTGGAAGGCCCAAAACAGCAGGCAAGCTAGAGGACGCTGCTGGAAAGACCTGGCCTTCAAGGCTGCCTGTACAGCACCTGGGGCACACAAGGCACTGAGCCACTTGTCCCCTCAGTGCTCTTGACGTCAGGCCATTCTCTGTCTCTCCCAGGGGCTCTTCATCCCTCCTAGTCCTCTATGGAACACCTTAAAAACCACCATTCTTGTCAAGTATTTCTCTGAAGATTCCTGCTATATAAACTAGACAGTCTAAAATAAAGCTTTGACTATAAAAGCTGACTTACCCCAAAGATTTAAAATAACTTCAATTTGCATCTTTAGAAATATGAATTCTAAAATTATGCCACTCTTCATCCTTTAAATACCAATTATACCAACCTGAGTGTTGCAAACTTTTAGCATCTTACTTACTTGGTGCATTCTTCTAAAGACTGTACGAGCATTTGCTGGAAAGAACATATTTCTTCTAGATTTCCCATTAAATATGAAATGTTTGCTGAACTTAACCTAGAGCCAAGAAAAATAACAGTAAAAATATGTAAACAGTTATACTTATATTCTTCTCCTTTGCCATCCCAATGTCATGATGAAGTCTTAACCTAATAAACAAATTGCTGATATCTAAGGCCAACTGGTACACTAAATTCTGTTCCACTATTTAACCCTCTATTCTCTGAAAATACAAGAGAACAGCCTAAGGTTTAGACTATTTTACAGTTAATGCCATTTATCCTCTAACTTACTTCTCACTGGTCTGCAACGGCCGTAGGTAGGTTGAAAGCACAGTCTGAAGTTCTTTAGAATATTCATTTTCTGTTTCTAAAATATTCTGTAGCACCTATAATAAATGATGAATATGTGTTATTTGACATTTCAATTGCTATTTGACACTAAGATTTATACACTTTGGACAGTTCATCACCATTGTTCAATTCATACTATCACTTCTACAAAGCACTAAAGCGTTGAGTATCATCATTCCTTGTGACACTGACTACTAAACTCATGTAATCAATGATCACAAAGGCCACACAACGGACTTTATCTTCCTGCCCACCACATCTGACACAGGTACACCTGGCATGAATTCCATCAACAGATGCCATGTCTGTTTACATGAAAAGGAGAGCCGCCGATAATCACAACAGCACAGACGAATCTCGACAACACTGCGACGTGCAAAAGAAGCCATCCCCCAAACAAACACCCTGCATAATTCCATTTATATGAAGTCTAAGAGACGGCAAAACTAATCTATGGTGACAAATCAGAGAAGAGGTGACAGGTAGGATGGGGAGGACAACAGGGAAACGCGAATGAGGTAAATTTCTAAGGTGATAAATAGGTTCTGTATTTTGATTTGGGAACCGGTTAAAACAGATATATACATTGTCAAAGCTCTTTGGACTGTACTTTTAAAATCCATACATTTTAACATATGCAAAATTTATCTCGACTAAAAAAATAGTTTACTCTTTAGATTGCATCTAAAAACTGAAATCAATTTCTGGGAACTATAGATTTTCCCTAGTGAATATGAACAGTCTCAGACCACCTTATTACCACATTTACTAAAAATTAAAGGTTTATCAATGTAAACAATCTTTACTACTTCATTTAAAGATAGCAGAATAATTGCAAATTAACCTTAAAATTAAAATGTTTCCTGATACCCTGGGATTAGTGTAGCAAATTTAGCCAAAAATAAGTCTTAAAAACTGACAGATAAATATAAAGTGCAAAACTGGTGAAACCAAGGAGGAATGCTTTCCACCAGCTATCACCGCAGCAAAGGCCTGGCCCAGGGCAGGGCCAGAAGGCACCTGGATGTGAACTGCAGGTGCTCCTTGCACTCCGAACAAGGTGCTCTGCACACACAACCTCTCCTCCTAGAGGAGGAAGCTACTTCTCCCAACTCAAACAGCTGGGAGTAGCAGAGCCAGAGAGCAGCCCCAGGTCCTCCTGCCACTGCTCCGCACCACACTGCCTTCTTTGGCATCAGACTGAGGGGCTGACCTAAGTGAAAAAAATGGAATCCTTGCCTCCATGCTTTTTCACCCAACTCTGTTGGAGAGCTAGTGCTTCTTCCATCAGAAAATCACATTACATGTGTCTTCTGTGCATCTAGTACACGCATTAAGATGTGCTATTTGTCTCCCAGAGCTAAAGACACATTTTAAATTACTCATACAAAAGAAACTGTACAGAAGTAATAAAGATAGTAAGTAAACGTGCTCAGTTTTCTCCCTGTAATTTTGGTAATACAAATGTAAACTTAAACATTTAAGAAAAAAGTCATCAAGTTAAATTTAACTTTCAGCCTTAGTAAAGATAACCTGGACCATTATTATGTTTGCTACAGTTAACTGTAAACTCTGAGAGAGGGTGCATTCCTGAGTAAACAGTCATCCTGAGTAAATGCAAATCTGACTAAATCACTTTCTAAACTACTTGGGCGAAAAATAAAACAGAGGCTCTTCCACTAGTGACAAGAAACTCCGGCTCATCCCTGAAGGGGTCTATTCATGGGAGACAACTGTGGGAGAGTCAGAGCGAGGGGCCCTGAAGGGAGCTGGCTGTTCGGGGCCCCCACAACCACAATGTCTTCCTTCTATGACATTCCCGTTGAACACAAATGTCAAAGGCCCAGTGAACAGAGGCATACAGTGATGTCAGGCACCGCAACCCAGAGACACCACCCTAAACCAGACCTGGTCTCCACAACATCAGGAGAAGCCGGCCAAGCATAACGGGATCTCAAGCTAAGTAAGATAAAATAAGATCTGTCACCGACATGTACGAAAAGTCCTTTTCCAATGTTAAAGATAGAAAATAAGATTTAGCATAATTACAAATATCAGATACCAACCTTAATACTGCTCAGTGCATGCCTGAAAACCTATACACTTATTTCAAACAGAAAAATGTTCCTGTGTGAGATAAGAAAGAAAACAGCCACTAGCAACTATAACTGGCAGGAATATGAGAAGAAAATACAATGACCTTTTGTCCATCACAGCACTAAGCACTGGATGTAGAAATAAGCCCTCTGACAAAAAGCTACATTCATTAAAACAGTTAAGTTGGTTAATTCAACTAATAGTCTTAAACACTATTTTCAAATAGGGTGCTAAACACAATTCCTGTTATGACTCCCAACCAAACACTGCAAGTTACATTTAACTTTTCCTCTAACACACAGCCAGGCCTGGCTCCCTGGCTCCGGCTGGGGTGCCCACTCCCTCTGCCAGGCAGCTGCTGGCCTTCCAGACCTTGAGCACAGCCCTGGGTGCCACTCACCACCTTTCTTCCCCTCCTTGTCTTCTGCACGATCTGGCTGCTGCAGGACCCCATAAGACCTCACAGCCTGGCCACCACAGCTCCATCCCACCAACGCTGGAAACCCAGACGACACACGCAGTTTTCAGAGAAAAAGCAGCTTTTACAACTCACAGTGCTGAAGAAAGGCCCAGAGAGCTGAGCTCAGCCAGCACCAGCTTCCCAGGGGTCATGAGGCACGCAGCACAGTCAAACACTGGTGCCACACAATCCCTACACTGCCCGCAAAACAAGGACAACTCACTTCTGCGCCTCGCAGACACAGACACTGACACTTACTTTATTCACTACTTCATTAAAGGAATACTCAGTATTTCTGATTTTACAAATGGGTTACAACTTTCACTGCCAATATTGGTAGGTGTTTTATGTTTATATGTCATCAATAGCCTTTTAAAAATAAATAACTGATTTACATAAGAGAACAAAGAACATCGATTTTTAAAATTTTATTTGGATAAAAGATTTTTATCATCATACAACCAATTTCCATAACCCAATCCTGAAGTCGAAGAAGAAAAACCTAAAAAATGGCACAATTATTCAAAAATCTACTTCTACCCTACCTAATCAGCTCCTCCCTGTCCACTGCTACAAAGAAACACGACTATCATTTAAGTTTCTCCCTTCCAGTTTATTTACACTTCAAGTATTTAACTTTTCAAAAAGTAAATTACAAGACTGTAGTTTGTAGCCTCTAATAAACATCTGACTACAGGGAAAGGAGAAAAGGAGGAAGGAGTGCTGACAAGCAATCCCCGAAGCCCCTGCTGGCTCATCCACAGGTCACAATGACATTGGGCAGTCAGTGGCTCCCCCACCACACACAGTTACTAATGTAATGCAGCATGCTAGGGCTGCTGGTCCTTACTAATGCCTAGGAACATTGGCTCTCAAAAAAAGTTTGGAGGGACCGCATCATGCTTTTCTTTTATGACACTGTATCTTTTGAAAGAAAATATGTTATTATATTATTTTTCAATGTGGAGATTCATAGGTCTTGGGGTATGTTTCTCACAAATGTTAAAGGTTTACAGGCAACAGCTCCTGCAAAGCCTCCCAGCCCACAGGGGGATGCGGATGCCCGCAATGGCACCTTCACAGCAGCATGGCGACAGGTAAACAGCTGGCGTATGCAGCCAGATAGACCTGGGCTCACAGCTGCACTCCGCCAACGACTGCCTGCAGCTGGACAAGTCCATCAGTCTGTTTCTCTTTTCCATAAAAAGGGGTTTTACTGGGTTATGATGGTTACTCAAGAGTGCCAGTCCTTGGCTTACAGCAGGAAGGCATCTAGCCAGCCACCTTTCGAACTTCCAGCCCAATCTGGAGTCGTACTTGGAGCTGCTTCTTGAATGACTCCTTCAGTCCAAAGGCAATGTCTTCACAAGTCAGTCTTTCTTCCAATTAACCGACTCAATTCTCCCAAACGCTAAGCTCTTCTCTGTGTCAGCCTTCCACTACTGCCTACCTGACAACCTTCATCTGTATCATCTTCGTCCAGATACAGCAAGGAAATCCGTGAAAAACAATGGGAGCCAAGTGTGAAAGAGGCCAGCAGGCATCTCATCGCCCAGCAAAGGAGGGAACCCCACAAGCTGCACACCCTACCTGATGCCTCCGGGCCCCTCATAATTAACCATCTCCACCTACAAGTCCCAGGCAGAGACTTCAAGGGGTCACAAGATTTAGAAGAAATCTTGGTTAAGGTGGAAAAAAGCCAAGGGAAAAGCAGAAGATGAAGAGATGAAGCAACTCCAGGGTTTAGGGTCAGTGCCGACAGACGGAGACAGAGGACACTAGGTTTTCCTCCTTGGACTGGCATCTGGAGGCCCCCAGAAACTGAAGGAGCAGGAAGGAAAAGACAGCCATGGGGCTTCTCTGGAGCACAGGAAGGGCCCGTGGAAGTGTGCCATGACATCTAAGGATACAAAACCGTTTTTGTACACCTACAGATTAAAATGAGTGACTGCTACCTATTACATTATAGTCACAGTATTACCAACATGCACAAAATAACAGGAAAAGATGGTTAATTATGAGGGGCCCGGAGGCATCAGGTAGGGTGTGCAGCTTATGGGGTTCCCTCCTTTGCTGGGCGATGAGATGCCTGCTGGCCTCTTTCACACTTGGCTCCCATTGTTTTTCACGGATTTCCTTGCTGTATCTGGACGAAGATGATACAGATGAAGGTTGTCAGGTAGGCAGTAGTGGAAGGCTGACACAGAGAAGAGCTTAGCGTTTGGTTCTGGGTCCCCATCCAAATCTCACCTTGAACTGTCATAGTCCCCATGTGTCAAGGGCAGGACTGGGTGGAGGTAACTGAATCATGGCGGGGGAGAAGGGATGGGGCATTCCCCTATGCTGTTCTCATGACGGCATGATAGTGAGTTCTCCCAAGATTTAGTGGTTTTATAAACATCTAGCATTTCCCCTGTTGGCACTCTTCTCTCACCCACTGCTCTGTGAAGAGGCGCCTTTCATCATGATTATAAGATT